GTTAATTAAACCCCATTTAAATTGGTCAAGAAATAAAGCAATTTATACATATAGTATTGGAGAAAGAATTGTTATTGGCCTCTTTTTGGCCCCTTATTCCTAAACGGTCAGGGCCATAACCCCCAAAATCAATCCCAACCTTCATCTTTTGGTATGGAACCTTGTAGTACAATTTCATAGAGATCCATAGACTAACACTCAAGTTCTTGTCCGGAAACCAGAAAATCCTTGTTTTTGGTCCTTTTTTGGCTTCTAATTCCTAAACGGTTTGGACCATAACCCAAAAAATCAATCCCAACTTTCCTTTTGAGATATGGAACCTTTTGGTACAATTTCATAGAGATCCATACTCTTATACACAAAAAATTGTTCTGAAACAAGAAAAATGCTTGTTATTGGCCCGTAATTCCTTAACAGTTAGGATAATAACCCCCAAAATCAATCCCAACCTTCCTTTTGCGATATGAAACCTTGTTGTTTACCTATAATCAAGTTATTGTATGGAAACCAAATGTCTTTGGACGACGACGACGACGATATTGCTCTACCATTATACAGCCGCAAAAATTTTGCGGTCGTATAAAAAATGAAGCCACTGAAATTATTGGTATGTTTAGTTTATGATTGCCTTTTATATTGTGTTTCTGTCTTGCTGGTTTGCTGATAGTTTTGAAAATTCTATTTGATGCGAAACGAATTGTAAAAAAAAAGATGACAGACACGGCCTTACAGCTACAGTTAGTTTAAAAATTGATTGACTGTTTATCCCTTCCTTAAAAAAAGAAACATTAAAATGAAATGGCACATTTAGAAATTAAAATGGCATAAAAGTAAGTAAAGTAAAGCAACTCAATTTGCACCTGGAGTCATTAAAAGTAATGGATATCATACTTTATCCTAACATAAGATCAAATTCCTGTGAGTACATCCTTTTAAATTATGAGGCAATCATTTTGCAATTACCATGATATCGTGTTGGAACTAAGTTATATCCCGTCGGGCTAACAGCCTCGTGGGTATATATAATACTTATACATTACAGTTCATAAAATCAGTAATTTTACATGGCTATATTGTAATTATAAACGCAATATCCTCAAGGCTGTCTACTTGCATCTTTTACACAACTAAGAAATGATGTAAAACTGGCAAGTAAATTAAATGAAATGCGAATGCTACAATGTGTTAAATCTGTTGTAGAATTCTAAACATCAATATAATTACTGATATTAGTCAGAATTAATGATGAAAGTTGAGGAAAACTGCAGTATACCCAGAAGCGAAAAATTGTGTGATAGTATTGACTCAGAAAACGTACTAAGTGTTTCTGTGAAGAATTAACGGTGCAGTAGATGTATATATCTCCCTCGAGTGTTTCTTGCCTATCTAGTTAATGTATGGTATATATGCTGCAAGTGCTAGTAAAAGAAGATCTGGGATAAAAGTTATTGAGATTGCAATCCAATGTAAAGTACATCAAGATCAAATGCATCATATGCGATTCCCTCTTTCTCACGCTTTATTCGGTTAAATTTACAGAGGCTCAGGTTCGAGGGCACAGGTCCGTTGTTATTATGCTGAATGCGGCTATATGGGTTTCCGATCTGTCGAGGGAGTAAAACGATTTTGGACGTCAATATTTGATCAAAGATAAATTGCAATTGGTTTTATCTCTGAAATCTGAGACCAATTGATAATGTACTATTCCCAGCTAATCACGAATAATGGCCCGAAAAGAAGGCAAAACTTATTTTTGTATTATATTATAAAACAAAAAGGTTTAAAAACGTTCTTAAATTTCATTTTTGCCTTCGGGTTGTCTAGAATCATGAACTTAATAATCAGCTTTTTGAATGAATCAGATAAGTAAAAAACTGTTGTTTTCAAAGCTGCATATCAACTGCCTGCGTGGGATCGTGTTTGGATTCTTGATTCGAGAAGGGCGAGAAATTGTTAGTTTGGTCCCCAATTGGATCTATTCAACATTTCAAAATTAATGTTTGCATACCCTTTTTTCTAACTGTAATACACAAAGAATTTAACAACTACTGCCATACTTTATCGTGTTGGACAGTCCCTGCAGTTTCCATCTCCCCCAATCGAGTTTTGTAGTATCAATCTTATAAGTACTTGTTACATTTGTGAAATAAATGTACAACTACTTATATTTTCAGCAGAATGCGACTTCACGCTGCAAGTTCCAAGGTTTCAAAAAATATTTATAAACCATTTTACGCTGCAAAAATTAATCGCTTTTACAGACATTATTAGATAACGCTTCTTTTTTCATCCATCTTCTTTGTGTCCTTGTGTGTTGCACACTCACTGCTAAATCAATTGATGTGCTGTTACAGAATACACAATTACAAGATACCGAAATTGATTTAATGCACTATTATTGCAGACGTTTAACAATCTTAGCTTTCTAAAAAAGCGGTTCGTCTGGCTTGTAATTATAACGTATTAAAAGTAAGAGTAGGAAAAAATAGTATAAACGTTTTTCACTGTAAATATTAGAGAAGGGCACACTCATTACAATATCTGGTGATTCTTATACACAAGTTACAATACATAAAGCGACATTTCTTTTAAAAAAATCAGTGTACCAGAAATAGTTTGAATCCCAGCATTAAGTATTTTATAAGGATTAAACAACAATCAATAAGCTCTCATTTCAAAGTGTAATGTCCGTTGACTGTACAGATCATTGTTCGCAAAATGGATGACAAAGACACAAATTTTAAACACAAAATAACACATATAGGAAGACATTGGAAGACAGACATAATAAGAATTCAATAGAAGTGTTGAATAAGTTTCCGGCTTCAGGGTTTCAGAAAAGTAGGATCCCTAGGGTTGACTGGGGCGCAGAAATATGGTCATCCCTGAGTTTTCTTCCGATCGTCAGTAAAACGGTTGCCAAAGTGGGGCCAGCTGTTTGACTGTGCAGGATGTATTTATTCGCAACCACGTCCGGTTAGAATGGAGACGTTAAATCTGATGCCTCCAGTCAAGAGATTGCCACGTTCTCTGAACGTTAAGAATCCTTGCAACAACTCTTTGAGTTGTCTGTAGAAGGTCTGTTGCAAAACTACGTTTCTGTCCATATCCAAAATACCTGTATTTTCCAATGACTTTCTTAATTTATCTCCCTTTATCCCGGTCGACCTACCTATTGTATTTACTGTTAATTTGTTCTCGCCCTGAACATGCATGTACTACTTGTAAGCAGATAACAATCAATCAATCAGAAAAATAGTTTCGTCTTTCGCCACATTCTCTGATTGTTCAATAATAAAAAGCTCTTAAAACACGCAATGTAATGCGAACAGAGATCAATTAAGAACCAATTATTTTTTTATCAATTGATAATTGTTTTCAAATGGTTATAATAATTGAATCAGATCTCGAATAGTGGATAAAACTCATGGTGTGCTCATATAGTTTCTAGATTGTGTCTGTTTTTATGGGCTCATGCAGTTTCTATACTGTGTAATAATGGGCTCATGATGTTCCTTGATTGGTTCAATATTGGATCATGTAGTTCCTAGATTGGTTTATTATAGACTCGGCAAGTTTCTAGATTGGTTCATTATGGGCTCATGTAGTTCCTAGATTGTGTCATTATTGGCTCGTGTTTTTGCTAGATTGGTACAGTATGGGCTCATGTAGTTCCTAGATTTTGTCAATATAGGATCATGTAGTTCTTAGATTGTATCATTATGGGCTCATGTAGTTCCTAGACTTTGCCATTATGTGCTCATGTATTTCCTATACTGTATCATTGTGGGCTCATGATATTACTTTATTGTGTCATTATGGACACATAATTTATATGTATATATATATATGCATGCAGTTCCTAGATTGTGTTATTATTGGCTCATGAAGTTCCTGGATTGTGTCATTATGGGTTGATGTATTTCCTAGATTGTCTTATTATGGACTCATGCGTAGTTCCAAGATTGTCGAACATTCTACTGATCATTTCTCTATCGTGCACTTAAAGAGATATACTGACTACAAATTAAAATTGACACCTCTTATCTGAAGAAAGTAAAACTATCTATGTTATCATTTCAGCAGAACAGATGTTTGTAAACTACATCTAAAAAAAACATTATTGCAATCAGATGTTACTCTGATGATAAATCAGCACGAAGGAATTATTACAAGTTCAGATGTGGGCAAGTTTCATGTGTTTCATTTGTTTGCAGATAAAATTTGTTCCTGTAATTTGAAATTAAGATTAATTTTTATATTCAAGGAAAGTCGAGTCGAAATATTTTGCCAATTTAACCAAGTGTGAATCAAGGGAGTAAAGGATGGCTCTCTTCCATTTTCTTTTACATTCTATTTCTTATACAATAATATAAAATTATTTGATTATACATTTTATATTGTCAAGGTCGTTTATTTTGGATTGAACGAAACACGTCGAAGAATTGTGTAAGAAAAGAAGGAAAATTCGCATTCAAACATTTAGGGGAGAAGGCAGTTAACAAGGGGGGATTGTTTTAATGGGATCAGTTATCCAATCTTAATAATTGGTATTTATCTTTTGCTAAATTATCTGAATTTGTATTTAGAGATCTTGATTTAGTAAGGGATGACTCTTCAATTTTCTTTTACACTCATTTTACCTTGCCAGGATAATTTATTTTGGATTGACCGTAAACATCAGGTCTATTGAAGAAAAGAATTATTGTAAGAAAATTAAGAAGTAAAATTCGCATTCGAACATATACGGAAAAGGCAATAAAGAGGGGGAGGGATTGTTCTAAAGGGATCAGTTATTCAATTTTAATAATTGTTATATAAAGAATGATATACAGGGATTTTTGGTGGTATCAATTGTTCTGTTGTGATTGTATAAGGGTTAACATGCTTATCAAATTTATAGTACCGATTGTCTGTTCATTATATATTACCTGGAATGTCAATCAAAATGGTTAATTATTAAATAAACATGTAAATTACGAGAAAATGTATTCCCTTACCATTTTTCTTTGTCTGATATGTTTCTGTGTCTCCTCTTTAAGATTAGCAGCACGTTGTAGCCGAGGCGAGTGAAGAACCACATACAACTAACGCACCTTTGTCTAGGATCTCCGTTTTACAATGCTGCTGATGATGTCATCAAAGCTGAATCATGATGATTTGCAGACGAGTGAAAGTTTTAGTGTAAAACTGGTATTTTCTGCACGTTAGTCACGATGCATAATCAATATGCAATATTTTGATTAGAATGTGCAATTGATATGATAGGAAATAATCTTTTCTGCAATCATACTTCCACGGCAACATATTATACCAGGTGCGAATCTAGGATATTTGAAAAGGGGGAAGCGCAATTCTATAAAACGGAAAATATTTGGCCGATTTTATGCTAAAATATGATATATTTTCCAATAAAAGTGTATATGGGTTACGTCCTCTACAGTCCCCTGAATATGCTTCTGTTTATAATCTGGTATCTATTTTATATCAAATACTGTACCAACAATATTTTTTTTTTAAATCAACACCTATCATTGTCTTTTGAAACATAACAAAAGGTTTAGGGGCACTTGGATCTATTGTGGTAGGGTGAGCAGTCAAGGCCCAAGACGACCTACCCTTATATATTTCAAATTTAGAAACGGTATAAGACATTACTATCTATTTCTTGATAAAACATTGTTATGTTACCATAATATAATTGAACAATGTAAATAGAATTGATAATAAAAATTGGAGTTATTTTTTTAAAGTTTGACATGTATCAGATATTATTAAGATTATTAAGATTAAGAGTAATTATATAATATCACTATATATATAGCCACTTGAAATGAGACATACAAAATGTTGTATGGTTAAAACCGAGGAGCGACCGACGTCTTAATGAAAATGTTTCCATTTGCTTTTCATTTTGCGAATGATTCAAATGCTTTGGCTTTATTAACTTTAAACCCCTTACATTCTTGGCGGAGTTGGAAACAAAAACTTTTCTTTCAAAGATAAAACTTCAAATTAAAAATTTTGTAGTTTATTCTGCTCTTTGGTCGGGTTGTTGTGTCTTTGACACATCCCCCATTTCCCTTCTCAATTTTATTCTAATTTACTTTGTCATTAATGTTTTATATTCTGAAAAAGAAGAAAATTCTTCTTAAAAAGCAGAAAATTCAACTTTCTTATTTGTATAAGAAAGTTTTCTCGTAGATTCGCATTGATATGCACACATATAGATAAACTTATATAATTGAAAGCAAGTTGAAACACCCATTACGCTCGGAGTCATATAGCCAAAAGGATGATGATGACTATGAAGATGATGTCCAGTGGCAAATATTACATGTACATGAGGACGATAAAATGTTAATGTGACATCAATATCAACCATGCTAAAGCCGACACCGTTAACCATAATTGAATTGTAGCGGGCTTGTTCACTGACTCCTTTGCTCCTACTTCTAAATTTCGTGTGCTAGCGGAGAATATCAATTTACAAGTCTTTGGTTTGATCCAGCCAGAGATCAAACCAACGACTCTCCACTAGAGGCGAGCCCGATACAACAAGACCATAGAGGTGTTTCCAAAATGATGAACGCTAATAATGAATCTGACACTGTTAAAATTCCGGCTAGGGTGTCGGTTCATAATTGTTAATATGTTACCGTCCTGTACATGTAATATTTGCCCCTGGACGTCATCATTCCTATTTCTATGTGTATAATAAATGAAGCTCTTGAATTTCGAATTCTTTGAACGGGGTTTACGGGATATATTGATAACTTGAAAACAGATTAATGGAAATATTTTTGGGGATGAGGAATGAAATTATAAGAATATGATGTATCAGATTGGATGCCCCTTAAAATAAATGCATTATCAAACTAATTTAATAACCTTAAATATATGGCAACATATGTTACGGATATAATAGTGACTAAAAGTCCATCTAAATAAATAAGATTCAAAGTTATCACATAGAAATTAAAAAAAGCAAATCTTTAATATATAAATTCACAGTGGTCTCCCTTATCATAGTTGATAATAAATTACCATTTAATTTGTTTTAAATGAGATAAGCAAAACATATAGATAGATGTATGTGTACTTATGATTAGAATTGTGCGCTAGAAATATCTACATATATTATAACTTTCGGAGCTCTAAAAGGATATTTTTTTTTAAAAAGGGTAAAATAATATATATAAGAAATTTTGAAGACGAGGTAAAATATGATGAATTAAAAACCAATTGTTCAGAGAACAATTGAAGGTCTTTCCACCCATAAAGATCTATTTTGATATGAAAATATTAAAATTTGGTTTAAAATGTCATTTCCAGCGTCAAATGATAGCTTATTGTACGTTGATTCCAAAAATATATGGTTTCTATACATTTTTTTTTAAATAAGGGAGATTATTTGTCACTTCCGGTTTGAAAAATGTCACTTCCGGTATAATTTGAATGTTTACTTGACACTGATTCCAAAAATATATGGTTCTTTATACTTTTTATATTAAATAAGTACAAAAAATAGCTACTTCCGGTTTACACATGGTCACTTCCGGTTGGATTTTCTAAGGTCAAATGGCTTGCAACCTAATGCAAAAAGTCCCATGGCTTTATCATGTTTACATATGAGGTAAAAGCAAAGGTCAAAATCTAGAACGTCAAATTTACCCATGACCTTGAGCTCAATTTCAAGGTCATTAACCAAGGACCTCAAATCAAAAGATCCTAGGTCTTAATTATATATGCTTAATGAGTTATATCACCATACGCGTATTTTTAAATACAAGAGGGGAGAAAACTCTAATTTAATGTTAGCGCACCATTTAAACCAAAATGTACGTGTAGTGACATGTCGCAACTAACAATTTAGTAATAATATGTTGTCGATATCTTATACGGTTTTTGAAAACAAGTGAAAATAAGCTAAAATCAAAATTTAGAATATGACCTTGACCTTTGACCTTGACCAAATTTTCCTTTTTTTGGACCAAGGACCTCAAATCAAAAGACCCTAGGTCTCTATCACTTATGGTTAACCAGTTAGAAATGCATATCACTTATATCAAATGCATAAGGGGAAATAACTCTCATATGGAGTCTCCGGAACGCTTCGGTGAAAACCAAACTCAACATCCTGAAGATATAGCGAGCAATCTGGTAAAATAAATTTGTCGTAATCTTTTACGGTTGCGAAGGAGTAGTGGCCACAAGAAAAACAGTGTTTGGGGAGATAACAACGTAAAATATTCGGTTAAGCGGTTGTCAGTTTAAAAAGCGTATAAACTGTTCGATATCATATACCAAATATCTAAGCGACATCTTGTGAAACAACAATACTACGTATACTAAGAAAAAATAAGGCGGAAGAAAAAAAAAATAATAATCAGAACAAAATCAATAGGTCTTTCCACGGAAAAGTGGAAAGACCTAATTATATATCAAAACTCTTCTTTTAGGGAGTTTTCATTCTGAGTATGAAGCTCATTGCAGATGGGTTTCAGAAAGGATGGAGGCTCACTGAAAAGTAAGAGTGAGCCCGGCAGTCTATAAAATCTATCAACTACAATAAAAAGAAAAGAAATGAAATGAGAAAAATAGTTTGTTTCCAATGAACACTATAGGATGGTGGGGATACACATAAAATAAACCTTCTTGTTCCTGGTATGCTATTGAAAAATTACTAATAAAAATGCTTTGCCTATATTTATATATTGAATTCGAAAAAAAAATCCATGCCCAACAAATGATTAATGGTCGTTGACATAAATGAACCCTATATATGAAATCGCAAACGAGTGTAGCTAACTACATACCTATCCTATGTTATTTAATTATTGTTGAGGCAGATCTTTAGAAGGGTCTGTTAAATTTTTTGGTTAAAGTGTTTACACTATGGGCTTTAGAGCTTGACTTGCTGTATGTTGTTGAAGACTGTATGTTTACCTCTACATATATTTACTGATTGAGTTGTTAGGTTGTTGTCTCATTGAAGTTTACATGCGATATCTTTTTTCAATTTTTAAAAAGCATAAAAGCTATGCAACAAAGAACATGTGTTTATCTTGTAAGAGTGCATGCTAAGAATAACAACAACAAAAAACCAATGAACTATTTACGTTATTGGTTTATACTCAGTCTGGTTTAATTTGTTTATTTACATATAATATGTTACTAATTATGTGTATATTTTCCAATAGACTTTTAATTAATATTGTCCTCGCGGATATCGTGTAAAAAATTAAGGAGCTCATTTTTGAAGGGAAACTTTTTTATCACCAGAATTCCAATTGTATGTGCTGATAAAAGACATAACTTGTAATATTTTATTCGCAAGATTAACTTTTCTAGTATTCGTCTTCTTCCTCTACTTCATAACACTCCATTCCAACTTCATTATAATCTTTCTCCAAAGCAGCCACGTTTTCTCTAGCTTCAGAAAATTCGCCTTCTTCCATTCCTTTAATAAAATATTTTTTATATGATATGGTATGATTAGAATAATGTTACCCTTAACAGCTGGAAGATATAACCTTCGTCTGGAGAAAAAAAATAAGGTATCAGGGGAATAACTGTTTACAATTTTTCTTCATGGAAGAGATCTGAAAGCGTGGACACAACTAAATGTTGTCTTTAAAATGGATACAAAAAAAACCTACTGAAAACTACTGATTTTTTGGGGCAAAATTAAATCAACTGATCCATCTACGATGTCACTTTATATAAATGAGATTAAGATATCAAGTGAATGATCAAACCAATAACCAACCAGAATGTACGGATAGGAAATATAATAAACATGTGTTTTGCAAATCCAGTTTCTATAAATGAATGTCAAAACTCATGCATGGTATGTCAGTATTTAAATGTTTCATCATTTGAAACTTTTCAATCACTAGGCTTCGACCACATTTTCAAGTAAACATAAATCAATGTGAAATCTTGAACTTAACAGTTCATAGAAGCAAATAACAGTGGCGGACCCAGAATTTTTTATAAAGGGGTCCCACTGACTGCCATAAGAGGGGGTCCGCTACAGTCATGCTTCAGTGGTTCCCAATTTAATCAACCAAATCCCCCCCCCCCCCCCTGGATCCGCCAATGAATAAGAAATTCATGTAACAAATCAATCTATTCATTTATTAAAGTGAGCAATATCCAACAAATGTACACGCAGTGCGAT